ACCCTGGCCCATGCCCACCGGCGCCTCCCAGCACCGCGTGGCTGTCACAGACGCAGGAGGCACAGCTGACTTTTAAAAGTGACCGTGGGTGCAGAGCAATGTCACTTCTTCTTAAAAAGATATTTTTGATTTCAGAGAGGAAGGGAGAGGAAGAGAGGAGAGAGAGAAACAGCCATGATCAGAGAACCATGGATCGGCTGCCTCCTGCACGCCCCCCACTGGGGATCCAGCCTGCAACCTGGGCACGTGGCCTGACTGGGAATCAAGCTGTGACCTCCTGGTTCATAGGTCAACACTCAACCACCGAGCCACGCTGCCCAGCTAAACTAATGTGATTTCAACTCTGGGTGAAGAATTTCCTTTATGCTCATCTGAGGACACGTTTATCGATGGAGAGAGAGAGAGAGAGAGAGACCTGCAACCCAGGAACATGCTCTTGACCGGGAATCGGGCGCTCTGACCACTGAGCCCACCAGCCTTCCTCTGGCAGCTTCCCCGGGGAACAAGACCACCCCGGTGCGCGCGGGTCTAAGTGACGGGCTGGCACTCACCCACAATCTCACTGGGCTCCTTGTTGTACAGCTTCCGGTTCCAGTAGAGGAGCCGGAGGAGCGGGAAGGAGAAGAGCAGAACGAAGCAAATGCCCACGAACATGTGCGCCGTGAACCCCGCGAAGTCCAGGCCCTGGGGACGGACGGAGACTCACGGACGGGCCTGCCGCCGCCACGACACCGCCCCGGGGCCCACGGAGAAACGTCAGTCCCCAGGCCTGCCATCGACGGCACATAAGTAGATGCTGTCATCCAGGCCTTTCCTTAAAAATGCATCAGAAGGAGCGAGCGGTGGGGCTCGGTGGCCGAGCGTCAACCTATGAACCAGGAGGTCAGGGTTCGATTCCCCACGGAGGGCACAGGCCCGGGTTGCACGCTCGGTTCCCAGTGTGAGGCGTGGAGGAGTCAGCCGATCCATGACTCTCTCTCATCACTGATGTTTCTCTCTTTCTCCCTCTCCCTTCCTCTCTGGAATCAATGGAAACTTATTGTTTTAAAATGCGTCGGAGCGGGAATGAATTCAGACCACTTAGCTCTACGCGGGACGGCCAGTCCCCCAGCCTCCCCCTCGCGGGCCGGCCAACAGCACGTCATGTGAAGGGAGGACATGGGCACGGGGTCTCCTAAAGGCCCCACACTGAGCAGGATGCGAGTGGGCAAGGAGGCGGGTCTCGGCTTCGCGGGAGCTGCCCCGGGGCCTGGCACGCACCATCTTCCTCAGCTCCTGGTTGGAGACGATCATGACGTTGGGCGGGTCCCCGATGGCGGTGGCAGCGCCCCCGATGTTGGTGAAGATCACTTCCGCGATCAGGACTTGCCGGGGGTCCAGGTTGAGCACCTCGCACAACCTGCCGCAAGCAGAGAGAAACGTGCTCCGTGGCTGAGCGTCGACCGGTGGACCAGGAGGTCAGGGCTCCATTCCCGGGCAGGGCACACCCCGGTGGCGGGCTCCATCCCCCGTGGGGGACGTGCAGGAGGCAGCTGATCCACGGTTCTCTATTATCGGTGTTTCTCTCTCTCTCTCCCTCCCCTCCTCCATGAAATCAATACAAATATAAGACCTAAAAAGCCCCACACACAAATAGAGGGAAGTGGGAAAGGCCTATGTGCGACCTAAATATTTTTAGAGCTTGTACAAGGGAAGTGTGTACACACACATGCACTCACACACACATGCACGCCTACACACACATGCACACACAAACACACACACGCGTACACACACATGCACAAACACACACACACACACACACGCACATACAGGAAAGGCAATGCTGGGGACGAACAACAACAACACATGGGCCCTGGTCGGGGCGTGTGCAGGAGGCAACCAATCGATGTGTCTCTCACATGGATGCTTCCCTCTGCCTCTCCTCCCCCTTCCACTCTCCCTAAAAATCAGTGGAAAAATAGCCTCGGGTGAGGATTCACAACAACAACATTTTAGCCAAAGTGTCCGACACACGGCCCTCTGGGACAAAGTAGCCCACGACATGGCCTCTTCTCAGACGCCAACACCCTGACGCCCCTGCCCTTGAATGACGCCCTCTGACCTCAGAGGAGGACCCCGCGCTCCACAGCACTGCCCCACTCCACAGAGAAGCGGGGTCTTCCAGACTGACAGGAGGGCCCCGCCCTCCTCCCAGCTCAGAGCCCCGCCTCCTCCCAGCTCAGAGCCCCGCCCTCCTCCCAGCTCAGAGCCCCGCCTCCTCCCAGCTCAGAGCCTCGCCCTCCTCCCAGCTC